CAATTTTGTAAGAATGATCAGTGTATCTAAAATACTGACATACGACAATTAAAAAAATACATAGATTTGCATGTATGTGGAGTTTGCAAAATAAGTAAATTCTACCTTCTAGTATTCTTAAACTACAGTTTCAGATATAAAATACATTTCAAACTCTCAAAGTGATTTGCTATTTATTTGCATAAGTTATGTAATATTAAATTCTGTACTAACTGGTTTATATATATATATATATATTTCTATTTATTTCTATTTACATGCTTTATATGTATTTGTGAAATATGTATGCCTTCATCACAAAATATAAACTTCCAAATTTACCAGTTTTTAATTATTTTTTTAAAAAGAATGTCTTTAATTTTGTTTCCTTTTTTCTCTAATTAAAAATCGATATTATATATATTTTTCAGTTATATAGTATATATTATGTATTATATAATTAAAAATAAAAAATATATATTTGAGATATATATGATTCTATAACTGTGATATTCTTCTCAAATATCAATAAGCCAGTCTAGTCCTAAAAAAAATCAGACAAATCCAAACTGAGAAAGATTCTACAAAATACCTGGCTGGTACTCTTCTAGAGGGTCAAAGTTATGACAGACAAGGAGAGAATTGGGAACCATCACAGATTAGAAGTGACTAGGGAGACATCATAACTAAATGCAATGTGAGATCCTGGATTGAGTCCTCGAAAAGCAACAAAAAAGCGTTAGTGAAACACTGGTGAAATCCAAGTATAATCTGTATTTTAGTTAATGCCACTTTACTTAAGTTAGTATTTTAGTTTTGACAAGTGTACTAGGTTACGTAAAATGTTAGTTTTAGAGGAAGCTGGGTGAAAGGTATGGGAACTCTATCTTTCCAACTATCTTTTTGACTTTTCTCTAAATCTAAAATTTTTCCAAAATAAAAAGTTCGTTTATGAAAATAAAAACAAATTTCGACCACAATTTTTATCGAAGAAGTTGTACACTTAAATGAGGATATCTTTTTAGCTAATCAAAATCCTTTTTTGGAAAACAAAACAATGAGATAAGTTTTAAAAAGAATAATGTACAATAACAAGAACCAAGCACAAAACTCTATCTAGTATTATCCATATCTTTATCTATGTACATACGTAAAGATTCTGTATATACAATTTGAAATAATCAGAAACAGTATATTATCATTGGTTATTTCAGAAAAATGAAATAATGCCTTTTAAATTTTTTTTCTTTAATATTTTTTGTTTCTTTTAGATCCGTAAAAGTAACTGAAAAAAATTTCCCGGGGAAACAGTATTAAAAGTAACTTTTGAATCCTTATTTGTTGCTGTGCTATATTCAAATTTTTTTTTTTCAAATATATAGACAAATTACAGTTTCAAATTATATATAGTCTCACTTTTATAAGGACCTTTTATCAAGATCAATAAAACATTTTAATTAACTAAAACATCCAATTTCCCTACACTATAAATATTATATCACCTCAAATTCAAACTACTATTGTACATTTGGACCAAGATTAAATGAAATGAAATAAAATAAAATAAAATTCTGTCTCTCCAATTTCCCCTCTGTTTATTCTTCTCCATTCCCCCCACTATTTTATATATATATATGAATTATTCTATATATGTACATATTCCATACATATATATGTATGTATATGTGTGTGTGTGCGTGTGCATGTGTGTGTGTGTGTGTGTATGAATTATTACATACCTTAGATAGTTGATTAGATATATAGATAAAGATGTAATATCTAGGATATGCACCAACTAAGGACCCATGAACACCGGTGATCTCTTGTGGTTGGGATTTACATTCTACTTTCTATATTTCTGTATTGTTTAATTTCTTTTGAGCAATAAACATAGTTTGTAATAAAATATATAGCAAAGATATATTTTAAAAGTAAAATATTAAATGTAAAATTTAAATATTAAAATCTTTATATCATAAACAATTCAAAATATTTTATTCAGATTTACAAAGTAAAGACTAAGAAACAATAAAATGTTTTTGAAAAAACCTTTTCTACCATAATGATTTGATGAATTGGGCATTGGGCATATTACCAGCTTGCTGAGCTATTGTTAGGAACAAAATTGTGGAAGCACTATGATTTTGCATTCACTTTTTGAGTAACCAATATTTTTCAGATTGCTTAAACAGTTCAACCATACATATTTAATCACTGCATAGAAAACTTAATTCTAGGGACTGATAAGCAATCAGAATAATAGAAGAAAAAATGGCTTGTCCCCAAATAAGCACAAAACGTTATTAGATGTCAGATGAAATTTTAATGTATTTTTGTAGGAGGCAGAGCTAAATGGTGACGGATGTTTTTTACATTACTGTAGAATATCCAAGACTTTTTGAAAAGTACAGGACATGTGTTAAAGTGCATATTATATATCATAGATTATTTCCAGAAATTTTATAATTTTCAAGCCAGCTCTGAGCTTATACCCACAAGAGGACATGCTGATATTTTGGAAGCATTTAACCCATTCAAAGAAAAACAGCTTTTAATTTTGTTTTAGATAGATGGATAAATAGGTGGAAACATACATTTACACTTTTTATTTTTCTTTGTGAGCAATCTAGTTTGCAGACCATTCTGTTCCCAGCTGACCCTGACTACTTACCATTTGTAAAGTGAGACTTGGTCTACATGAGTAGCTTTCCTTCCTGTTTTTATTAATATCTTAGAATTGTCTGAAAAAAATTAAAAAAAACACCTTTATCTTTTCTGTCACGTTTTCTCATTGCTCTAAAAGTAAGACAGAAATACATTAACATTTTCATAAATTGCTATTCTGTACCTAGAACTAAGTGTGTTTTGATTTAGAAGAAAGTATAGAAGAGGTGATTCTTGTTCCCTGAGTAAAAGCTCAGGGAACATTTACTTCCTGAGAGATGAATTAGAAATATTTTATGTCAATTAAAATATGCTGAAGGTCTATAAAACAATGATGTGTCTATTGTTTAACTGTCACTGATAAGAAATTGACTGCAAAATTACTGTCTAGAGTTCAGAATTTACTCCCTTCTGTTTTTCTTTTGTTCACTTTTCAAGGCAAAAAGTATCTACCAACCACTGGATTGTAAGTTCAACCTGAAATCTGAAAGTCAGATTCCATTTTTTTCTCTCCTTTATTTCTCATTGCGGATGATAAAGATACTGCCATTGAAATTCAGCTGTGACAGTGTGTATGATTAAGCTAAAGTCTAATTGGCTTTGCAGTGTTAGCAGAAGCCAAAATTTAATGGTTGATTTTTTTTCCTCTCGTATTAAAATAAACCTCTATGATTCACAGTCTCAGAGAACAGAACTCTTTTGATTAAGAAAGTCTTTTTATGGGCAATAAAGAGCTGATTATAAGAATTAAAACTTAAAGTTTAAAGTCATATTTTTTTCTGAACATTTTATAATGTAAGATTGTACAGTTATTTAAAAGCATAAATATTTGCGATACTAGCTTAGTTTCAAAGTATGTGAAAGCCATCAGTGATTTGAAAGGCAAGCTTAGATTTAATTTTAAGTAATATTCGAAGTAACTGTATTTAAAATAGTTCACTTTATAGAATTAGGTAAAATCTACACATAAAAAGATTGGCTGTGGTTCTGGTAGCTCTGTATCTCTACCGTGGCCACCACGGGGATTTATCTGGTGGTATGCTACACTTACAAGGCAAACCAAAGTGTTCCTGCTGGTGATTGAAGTAAACAAGTGCCAGAGAACTAGGACATGAAATGAGAAAATATTTCTCTGACAGGCTTTACACTGGCTGTTATTTCTCTCCAATGTCTCCCTCTGGAGTTCTTTAGCCAGACCTTGCCCAAAACCTAGAGGCTAGCTTTGTCCAAGCTTGTAATTCTAAAGTTATTAGAGCTGTTCAGTTTGACTCAGCTTTCTATGATTTACAAATGAAAAGCTTACAGAAATAGTCTACTGAAAATATTTTTAACCACGAAGATTTGATAAGGGTAATGAAGCTTCTGTTTGAACTCAGTATTTGATCTGAATGGTCACATTGCATTTTGAATCGTTCTATGAATTGAGAACCCATTGCCATTAATGCCTAATAAATATTATCTCATTTTTATTCCTGGTGTGAAATAAATAGTAGTTATAAAATGAATCCTCACAATCGTATATTTCGGATCATAGTGACAAAATTTCAAATTTTTTAAGAAGATTACATACTTTCCTTATTTTAATCTAATCCCCTAAAACTAAAATTAGAGCTGCTGGAGTAGTATGTGCTGGATATTTGTTCTCTGAACTCATATACGGAAAGTGAAGATATCTGTGTCCATTGTAGTAAAGAAACTAGCAGTTCTGCCCAATTCTCCATTCCAAATGCAAGGAGGTAATAAGAAATTTGAGACAGACTGATTCCTAAGGACAAATGTTGAGAAGTTTCTGAAAATTCAATTGGTTGTAAACTCTGAATGCCACAAAAAGGTTTACTAATATTGTGGTAAAATACAAAAACCACTGGGAAAAAATGAAAATAGCATAAAAGATTGCATTCCAAGTGCCTTCATTCTTACATCAAAGAAAACTTTTTGAGTAAAATATATACTAAAAATCATGAAGAATTATCATCATTAAGGAATAAAACATTTAAGTCTCATAATCTATTAGAGATTTAAAATTTTTACTATTTTGGACTAAACTCTAGATCTAAACTCTAGATTCCCAAGTTAATATTTAAAGCATATGACCCACTGAATTTATATTACTAATTTTATAATTAAAGTAAAATGTTCAAGTGATAGAGATTTTAGGAACATTTTTATCAATACTCTCCATAAAACCTCCTTTAAAAACACACAGTAAATCAAAGGAAGATTGGGATAAGAACAGAGGACTGTCAATTTCTCAAGAAAAACGCCTATTTAATTCCCATTTACTCTCTACAGACAACTGTTGGAAGTGGATGGTAACATACGTGACTCAACTAATACGTTATTATTATTTCTTTTAGGGGCTGATGTTATCAACTTTGATGGCTATGTTGTGTTACCATATAGATTCAGAAACAAGAAGATGAAAACGCTGAAAGATGTCATTGCCTTGAAATTTAAGACTTCTGAAAGTGAAGGAGTAATCTTGCATGGAGAAGGACAGCAAGGAGATTACATTACCTTGGAACTGAAAAAAGCCAAGCTGGTCCTCAGTTTAAACTTAGGTGTGTTCTGATTCTTGGTACTATTCTTTCCATTATGGATGTTCCCATTAGGAAAAAATTCATGTTGCTCAATTCTTTAAAATGTAAATTATAAAAAGAGCTCATATTATGTTGTCAATGATTCTTAATATATAACAGTTGGTATGAAATACCTATTTATTCAAAAATATTTATTAAAAATTTCTGCTATACAAGGTACTATACTTTGGCATATAGCAGGGAACCAATAGACAAGATCCTTAAGCTCATTAAGTTCATGACCTAGTGGAGGAATCAGACAATATAGCATCTATTATTCTTATTTAAAACAACTAAGCAAAAATGAATGACTTCAAATAATAAATATTATGAACCAGTTTAATAGGTTAATATAATAAGAGGAATAGGTTAGTATGTCCTATTTAAAAGCAACAGGGCCAACATTAGAATGTGTAGCAAAGAAAGCCTTCTTTGAGGAAAAAATTGCTGTTGTGAGTAGTGCCACAATGAACATATGTGTGGATGTATCTTTACAATAGAATGACTTACATTCCTTTGGGTTTATACCCAGTAATGGGATTTTCAGGTCAAATGGTATTTCTGCCACTAGGTCTTTGAGGAATTCTCATACTGTCTTCCACAATGGTTGAACAAATTTGCACTCCCACCAACAGCATAAAAGCTTTCCTTTTTCTCTTCAGCCTTACCAGCATCTGTTAGTTATTGGCTTTTTAAGAATAGTCATTTTGACTGCTGTGAGATGGTATCTCATTGCAGTTTTGATTTGCATTTCTCTAATGATCAGTGATGTAGAGCTTTTTTTTTTTTTTTTTCATGTTTGTTGGACACAAATATATCTGTTTTTGAGAATTGTTTGATCATGTCCTTTGCTCACATTTCAACAGGGTTGTTTTTGTCTTGTAAATTTGTTTAAGTTCCTTGTAGAAGCTGGATATTAGAACTTTGTAAGATGGATAGTTTGCAAAATTTGTTTCCCATTCTGTAGGTTGTCTGTCCATTCTGATGATAGTTCCTTTTACTGTGCATAAGTGATTTAGTTTAATTACATCTCCTTTGTCAATTTTTCCTTTTGTTGCAATTGCTTTTGGCATCTCCATCATGAAATCTTTGCCTGTGCCCATGTCTTGAATGATATTGCCTAGATTTTCTTCTAAGGTTTTCATAGTTTTGGGTTTTATATTTAAGTCTTTAATTCATCTTGAGTTGATTTTTGTATATGGTGTAAGGAAGGGGTCCAGTTTCAATTTCTGCATATGACTAACCAGTTCTCCCAGCACCATTTATTCAATTAGGAGACATTTCCCCATTGCTTGTTTTTGTCAGGTTTGTTGAAGATCAGATGGTTGTAGGTGTATGGTCTTATTTCTGAGTTCTATACTCTGTCCCATTGATCTATGTTTCTGTTTGCATTAGGGCCATGCTTTGGTGACTGTACCCTTGCAGTATAGTTTGAGGTTGGGTAGCATGATGCCTCCAACTTTGTTCTTTTTGCTTAGAATTGTGTTGGCCATTAGGCTCTTTTTTGATTCCATGTAAATTTTACAATAGTTTTTTAAAATTCTTTGAAGAATGTCCATGGTAGTTTAATGGGGATAGCATTGAATTTGTGTATTACTTTGGGCAGTATGGCCAATTTCGTGATGTTGATTATTCCTGTCCTTCGCATCCATGAGCATGAAATGTTTTTTCATTTATTTGTGTCATCCTGATTTCTTTGAGTAGAAGTTTATATTTATCGTTGATAAAATCCTTCACTTCCCTTGTTAGCTGTATCCTAGGTATTTTACATTATTTTTATCAATTGTGAATGGAAGTTCAGTTATAATTTGACTCTCTGATTGCTTGTTGTTGGTTTAGAGAAACACATGTGATTTTTGCACATTTAATTTTGTATCCCAGAACTTCACTGAAGTTGCTTATCAGCTTAAGAATCTTTGGGCTGAAATGATGAGGTTTTCTAGCTATAAGATTATGACTTCTACAAAGATAATTTGACTCCTTCTCTTCCTATTTGAATACCCTTTATTTCTTTCTCTTGCCCAATTGCCCCGGCCAGAATAGCCAATTCTATGTTGAATAGTCATTGTGAGAGAGAGCATTCTTAATAAAACAGCTGTGTTGTGGTAGGGAACTACCTCTGCCCCATCAGCTTGGACTCTCCAAAGCCCACAGGCTGGAATGACTGGATCGTCCAACTCAGGTGGCAACCCTCCCCACCCTTGGTCACTCCATACCAGAGAGAGATCATAGGTCTGCCATGCAGGTGAGTGTAGCTGGAGGGCCCCAGCTGGGAGGTCCCACCCAGTAGGAGGAATGGATCAGGGCTCTGCTTAATGAAGCAGTCTGGCCACAATCTGGCAAAGCTACTGTGTTCTGCTGATAGGGAACCCTTCCTCCTCATCTGGACCCTTTGGACTCTGCAAAGCCCACAGGCTGGAATGGCCCAGTAGGCCAAATAGCAGAGATGGTGTCCTCACCTCTCCAAGGCTCCACCTGGTCTCAGTCAGGCTTTGCCGTGTTTCCAGTGGCTGACTGAAATTCCAAGCCAGTGGGTCTTATCTTGTGAGGTTTCCAGGAAAATGGAGATGCAGAGCAATGATGCTCAGCTCCCTGGATTCTGCCCCCTTCCTAGGGGTATGTGCAGACATCCCACCTTGCGTGAGTTGCAGACACCTTTGTTGGGAATCCCAAGGTGGGGTTTGTAAAGCTCTTATGTCTCTGTGCATACCTGAACAGTTGCTCTACCAAGACTCCACACAGCTCTGTGTGTCAGACCCAAGGCTCTGGTGGCATGGGCTCACAAGGAGATCTCCTAATCTGTGAGTTGCAAATATGCATGGGAGAAGCATGGTTTTTCGGGGTCACATAGTCACTCGGTGCTTCTCTTGGCAGGGTTTGGGGGTTCCCTTGGCTCCATGTCATTCCTGGGTAGGACATAGCTCCATCTTGCTTTTCTCCATTCTCCTTGTGTGAAGTTGTTTCCTTCATCAGTCTCCATGTGAGAACCTGAATATTTCAGTTGAAAGTTCTGTATTCACTCATCTCTTTCATTCCTCTCTGTGAATGCTACAGACCTCAGCTGCTTCTAATCAGTCATTTTGGCCCCAATCCCACCTGTTTCTCTTGCTTGTCTAAAAATTCTAGGCTCTTTGACTTATTTGCCAATTACCAATTTGAGTGGTCCAAACATTCCTGAATATGGTCTGTATCCCTTTTATTAACTTTACTTACTTTGAAATACAGTATTACACTAAAAATTGAAACTTCACTTAGTTTATTTTTATAGGTAATGATACATCATCTTAAAGATATACCCTTGATTCTAAAACTTTTCACATTAAAAATCTGATCTGACAGACACGATAGCTTCTACAACAAAGAAAAGAAGTCACACAAAATTCTTCATCACCTAGTTATGCAAAATATTATTTTTTACATTAAAATGAAAATAACATTAAAACGCACACAACACTGCATGTTCTAACTCATAAGTGGGTGTTGAACAATGAGAACATGTGGACACAGGGAGGAGAACATCACTGGAGCCTGGGGGGTGAGGGGCTAGGGGAGGCGTAGCAGCAGGTGAGGGACTGGGGAGGGTAACATTAGGAGAAATACCTAATGTGAATGACGGGACAATGGATGCAGCAAACCACCAGCATGGCACCTGTATACCTATGTAACAAACCTGCACGATCTGGACATGTACCCCAGAACATAAAGTACAATTTTAAAAAAGTATAAAAGATGCACACAAAACCTGGGAAAATACAAATGTCAAATATTACTGGTTTAATATCAATCATGAATAAGAAATTATACCCCTACATCATAATACGAAGGCAGTAGAGAAAATAGAGGCAAATGTTATGCAAGATAATTCATAAAAGAAAAAAATATTATATGAAAACCAAATACTCAACCATGCTAGTTATAAAAAATGTGCAATAAAATAACAAAATTCTAATTTTTGCCAAGTAAGTAAATACATTTTAAAGTTATCATATCAGTGTTGGTGAGTATTTGACAAAAAGAATCCTTTGTATTTTTAAGCAAGTCAGAAAATATTTTCAGGAAAATAGCTAGACAATATGCCCTCAGACATTTGAAATATCTTATAATATGTTGGTTCAATAATCATAAGGTTAAAAGAGAATTGGCTACTAGGATTTAAGCCCAAATATATAATTTACAACATGAAATACAATGTCAAAAATTGGGAAAAAAGTTAAACCATAGAAATATGTTGATAGCACTTAAAATGTCTATGCTAACTTTCAGTTGCATGGGGAAATTATATATAATATTAAATAAAAACTGTAGGATATAAAATCTATAAATCTAATTAGGTCTATGTAGTCTTGTGTCACTTTTAAATGACGATGTCTTCTGAGAAATTCTTTGTTAGTTTCAACACTAGGTAAACACAATAGAGTATACACGTACAAATCTGAATTGTATAGCCTACTACACACCTAGGCTACGTGGTAGAGTCTATTCCTCCTAGTGTACAAATATGTATGGCATGTTACCGTACTGAATACTTTTGTCACCTGTGAAAAAAATGGTATTTGCATATCAAAACATAGAAAAGATACAGTGAAAATATAGTGTTAAATTTGATGTTACCACATTATATATGAAGTCCATCATTGAAAAAAATATCATTATGTGGTGCATAACTTTTTGTGGACAACATCTGGAAGAAAATAGACCAAATTATTGTTAGGGGTGGAAATATTTTTACATTACATTTTATTTGTTGTTTCTTCATTATATTCTCTACTTGTAATAATGAACATGTATTCATTGTGCCACCTGGGGGAAAATAGCCTGAAATTATTTTTAAAATAAGACCTAATAGAGGGAAAGAAGGAAGAGCAGGGAGAGTAACCAGAAAGAAAATATATGTACTTCCATAAAATTTGCACACATGCACATGTGGACACACACACACACACACACACACACACACACACACACATTGCAGTTGAATTATATCTAAAGGTGTTTATTTTTTCAAACTTTTCTTTTTTTATCCCAAACGAAACATGTAGAGTAACCTTTGAAAATCAACTGATGCTTATAGAGGTGTGACATTATTGTTTTCAAAGAAATACCTGACTATGTGACCTTATCAAGAAGAGTTTATTAGCTTTACACTGGAAAGCAGTTTACTGATGGAGTTTTACTGACTGACTGTAATTTACGACAGCCAGAGAAATATATCCACTCAAATATCTACTGCCGTTCTTTAATGCGGTTACCTAAATATCAGACATATCTGCCTGTTGCTCTGTCTCTAGTGTAAATATTTAAAGTAATAAAACTCAGTGTGACCTTTTCACTTAGATAGTTCCTAATTTTCTTTCTTTCACTTCCTCTTCCGCCTCTTGTCCCTTCCTTTTCCCTGTCTCATTTTATACATACGTACTGACTCACCATCACACATCGACATTTGATTTCATCACCAGAAGTGAAGAAAAGATGTTCCAGGAAGATAATTGATAATGTAAGGTATGGGGGCATTAGCATACAAAGAGAAGAAAGGAAGAAAGGAAGGAGGGAGGGAAGAAGGCAAGAAGGAAGAAAGGCAGGAAGGCAGAGATAGAAAGGAAAGAGAAACAAAGAACGAAAGAAAAGAAGAGAGGAAGAAAAAGAAAGAAAGAAAGAGTTTAATGTGAGAGTTAATTGTTCATCTCTCATTTCCATTATGCTATTTATTCTGAAACCCTATTATATTTTTGTAGTGATTAATTTTGCCTGACCATAAAAAGCATTACTTGATTAGACAACACAGATGAAACAAAATATATAAACTTCATTCGGAGATCACCTTAATAAACATGTTGGATTCTAACAGTATTTTGCTTTTATTTATAGTTTCGTTGCTATAGAAATCTTATTTCAAAACTAAACGCTACATTTATAATTCTGAATGTTATCATTTTAATTAAAAGATAACAAGTAAATTTTCTATGCCATTAACAATTACATAGTGTTCTCTTTACAACAATGGCTTTTGGAGTCAACGAAAATTAAAAATGGTCATGCTATGTGGTCTTAATCAATAATTGTAACAGTAATAGAAGATTAACAGGTAGCAGTTATGCTCACTATATGCCAGAAAGCATATTAAATTCTTTGCCTATACTAACTCATTTAACCCTCAAGCAACCTTATGAGGCAGGTACTGTTATCTTCTCTATTGTATATATGAACAAATGGAAACCAAGCATACTCAACTTCCCCTGGATTCCAAGCTAACAGTGGAGCCAGCATCAGAACCCAGTAGGCTGATGTGAAAGCCCAGGTGACACTGACTTTATAACAAACATACCAAAATTTAGCAGAATTCATTGCACAGATATAAAACACTCATTTTCCCCCATTTTAAAAGAGCAGACTTTTTTTCCATCTTCAATAACTTGTAGGTACTTTGAACATGAAGTATTCTTAAGTGTAGTGACTTACTGATATTTCAGGTTAACTTGAATGGATAGAGCTCTGATGGAATGTCAGCCTCTACATGCTGTAAACAAAAGAGCCTGTGCTTTTGGCTATAGCATCATTACATTGTTTCTTCTTCACTCCTGTGTACCCAGGAAGCAACCAGCTTGGCCCCATATATGGCCACACATCAGTGATGACCGGAAGTTTGCTGGATGACCACCACTGGCACTCTGTGGTCATTGAGCGCCAGGGGCGGAGCATTAACCTCACTCTGGACAGGAGCATGCAGCACTTCCGCACCAACGGAGAGTTTGACTACCTGGACTTGGACTACGAGGTACGATGATGATATGTAAATTGTGATAAAATGTCGAGCAACTCCATCACTCTCTTGCTGTATTGTATTATTGTTAATTCTATTACTACTTATACCCTTTTTATTTTCTTCTCTAAACAAAAAGAAACTGACAATTTTAAAAACCTAATACATTTGTGTCATTTTATTTCCAAATTTACAATCATGAATACTCGAAATATTATAAAAATCTTAGTGCCAAAGTATTAATTGGAAGAGAAGGACCATGCTATCCAGGCCATTTAATAAATTCATAATAAATTTAATTTGTAATCCTTTCATTAGTAATCATGTCACCAATTCTCCTTGAGAGTGTGCAGTACATTATATACAGAGGGTTTTCTAATATTTATTATAAAGCATGGAATAAGAAATCCTAGCTTCTGGTTTATACTAAGTCATTCAGAAACTCCTAACTGTAGATGAGTCTTTTGACATTTTCTGTTTTCCCAGATGTCAATATCACAAATGCAATAGAGTAAAATACAGAATATTTTAAAGAGATTGTTCATGAACAAAAAGACACATTTTACCTTTCCAATAATGAGAGATTAAAAATAATCAATGATCATGTTTATACAAATTAAAAAATCTATTCTCATAGCTAAAGAATAGGCATATCATATTTTTAAATAAATTATTTGTAGAGCAATTCAACCTTAAAATATCCATTAAAACTGTTAATCATATATGTAGGTGAGCTCTTTTAAGATGTTTGTCACGGTATTATACATCCTGGGAGAAGAGGATAGCACTAGATATGCAAAAGCAGCAGAACGGTAAAGCGATGCAATGCTATTACTGAGCCAGAAGTTTCGGAATTTTCTTAGTTCATGAAGCCCTTAGTGTCTTCGAACTTTCTCTACAGCCGTCCTGGGCTATTAGATCCAAACAACTTAAAAATTTACATCCTAAAACTTTGGTAGCTGTTTGGAGAAATAAACATAAAATAAGAGTGAAAGTACATTTTTATTTCATTCTCAAACAACAGCAATTATTACTAATGAGCTGAGTGTTATTGCACTGTATGCTTGTCACAAATGGGAGTCAGATTTGCCACTGGCATCCTAATTTTCTGTTCCATGTTTACTCTACGTGATACTCTGTTTTAATCAGAGTAATGACCAAATCCCAAATTCACAAAAACAACACATCACTAAAAGGAATGTCACATTATCTAATACTGGAATAGTAAACTACCTTAAGCTAGTGTTTCACACAGTGTCCAAATGACACTTGGAAGCCCATTGTTGTGTTTTCTTTAAAAATGTTGAACGTACTATGGCACTCCTCTTAGTTTTCTGCAGCACCTTCATGTTCCTTGGCACTCGGATTTGAAATTGGAGGGGTATTCATGTATGTATGTGTGTGTCATGTATCTTTATGCATAATTACATAAGAACATGGAATATGCTCATCACAAAATAAATAGAAAAGGCAGAATTAGTTTTCTACTTTCTTTGTGTTTAAATAGTTTCTCTTTCCTTGCAATATGAATATACCATATATATTCCTAAATAATTTGTAATAGAATATGCTATATAAACACTGATGGAGACTTTATTAACGTTAAATTAATTTAAGGTTATTGGAAAATATTTTGCCCTTCCCCCCCAAAAAAAATCTCTTAAAAGCAGACTGATTGCTAAAAGGAAATGTAGGTGAAAATCCCAGAAATTTCTATCTTCTCTAAATTAGTATGTGTCTTGGCTCATATGACTGATCTCCCAATGTATAAGAGATCTTAAAGATGAATTATTCAGCCTTCTTTAATAAACTTTGAAGTACCCTATAAGAGGTGAAAATTCTGGAACATTTGGAATGAGGAAATATAATTCTAATTTTCAAAAAAAAAACAAATTAAAGATTTGGGGTCATAAACTCCGTTGAGTATGTGATGAAGTCTATGAATATTCATGCACACACAACACTTCTATATTGGGTCAGCAGTTTCATGGACACTATGAAGCCCATCTATATACACTGCCATGTTTGAGAGCTGCAGGTGTAGACTAAAATACCTGGGACTTATTTATTAGAGAGAAACACTGGGAAGAAATTTAAATTAATTGACAAAGAATCAGGATAGACAATATTTCTGGCTACTGCCAGATTACTGTCCTCTTAGGGACTGCAATTATTGGCATGAAATGTAATAAACATGGCTATGCCTACCTTTATATTTCTACACTTTTGTCTTCATGGAAAGGGACTCCTTTGCTTATTTGTTTAAAAATAAAATAAAATAAAAAAAAAACTCAGGACTGAGCAAGGCATGGTGGGTCATGCCTGTAATCCCTGTAATCCCAGAACTTTGGGAGGCTGAGGTGGGTGGATCACCTGTGGTCAGGAGTTTGAGACCAGCCTGGCCAACAGGGCAAAACCCTGTCTCTACTAAAAATACAAAAATTATCTGGGCATGGTTGTGGGCTCCTATAATCCCAGCTATATTGGAGGCTGAGGCAGAAAAATCACTTGAAGAGGTTTCAGTGAGCCAAGATCACGCCATTACATTCAAGCCTGGGCAGCAAGAGCAAAACCGTGTCTCAAAATAAATAAATAAATATTAAAACCTCAGGAACTATATTAGAGTCAGGCTCGAGTTTTATTGTACTTATCTGCTTGATACATCCACACACTAACTACACTCGAACCTCATAGACTGCGTGAAAATTAGCTTCAAACCTAAAATAATACAAATTATATAATGCTTATTACTGAACCATTTAAAGTCTTTGGCCTAAAGGAACAGAAAGCTGGTCTTGTTATCTTCACAAAACCTGCAGATGCAGCATCCTTCTTCCCCAGGGTTATACTGCCTCGGTTCTTCCAGAGTCCACTCAGGTCAACGGCACTGAGGCCCCGAATGGGGATGTGCTGGTAAATGCTTAACAATCAGCTTTCTACAGAAAGGAATGGTCAGAGGAATGCCCTGATATTGAGCATTTATTAATTTTCATGGCGCGAATTTCCCACCATGGTTGTTTTCATGCTACCATATATGGAACTGAGCAGGGAGTTGGGAAGACTTGCCTAATAGCACACAAGTATATGGGTATTTCCATCATATAGTTGGAATAAATGTGAATGAGCCCAAGAACATATATGAAAGTATAGTGTAGAGATAAGTTCTGAATAGTTATTAATTTTGTGTTTCATGTGATTTATTTAATGTATCACTTATGTAACGGGATTTTTAATCACAGCTCTGCTTAACAATCAGTTCTTGTAAGCCAGTATGGGTGGGATTCAGCACAGTACTGCTGGCGTTATAACAATTCCTGGAGATGAACATCGTGAACGAAGTGATAGAATACAAGTTGACTCCTTTGACGTAACTCTATGTGGACATTTTTTGTGACCTAGTCATAAGAGTTTATCTCATCCCCTCCTCTAGTAGCTGCATACACTGCAAACTGGCCCATCACCACCTGCAGTCAGGCTGCTAGCTACAGAGTGACTGGAGACCTGTGTGGTGATAAATACATGCACTTCGCTTCATTTTTCCTCAGCGTAGCCAATAAAAACCAAAGGGCAGAGCAGCAAAATGGTGTTTGGCCTAGATTCTCTCTGTTCTTCAGAGCACGCCCACTGTGGATACTATGCTGTTATCTCTTGCAATACAACTCTGCTAGGGAAGTAAAGGAATGACTCTCTCTTGACCATTGCAGAGCCACAGACTGGTGAGGAAGAAAATCAATCACAGGAGAAGCCCGAGTTTGAATCTATTTCTGCCCTTTAATGGTTGTGTGATAGTCAACAATTCATATTTCCCTTTTGTGAAGAGTCTAATCACATACTTTGCATAGGGTTATGTGAGGAGGCAACAGGAAGTAACAGAAAATATATATATATATATATATATATATATATATATATATATATATATATATATATATATTTATGAGTTAAGATTGTATAGGCTGCCTTTAATGGATGCATGTATATTATCCTTTACATAAAAGAAGTTTGGAGGTAGGTGGCCCGAGGTTCAAATGGCTGCTCCATGATCTTCAAGATCACAGTCCTATTTAATCTTGCTCTTCCTCTATCCCTGTTGCAAATCACTTCAAGACAGCTGCTAACATTTCACTTTGCACTCCAGCTAGCAATAAGAAAGAGAGAGTAAACCAGACTGTGCCCTCACCCTCAATGACAGTTCTTAGAATCACATACAGCCCTTCTACTTAAATATCATGAGACCAAAACTAGCTTCAAAGAGGCTGATAATTTATTATATTGATTGGGGAGCAATGTGACCAGCTGAAAAGCATTATTTTTACCCTAATGAGGGTAGAAAGAAAGGATACTTACAGGTATCCAATAGTCCCTGCCACACTTTGTGAACACTTGAAAGCTAACAAAATCATTAATGTAGTTATTTCTTTAAAGGTAAGGTTATTAGATGACAAGATCATTAATAAATGTATCATATGAGTCACAGAAAAAACTAAATATTAATCTGACAATTGCAACAATATTTGTTACTATCAGCTTCATTAAAAGTTCAGAAAATATGCTATGGTCCAACCACTTCATTTTACTAATGAGAATATATAACTAGAAAGAATAAATGACAGCCTACTATCCTATCATTAGTTACCTTAGGAAGTGGGTTTAGAATTCGCTAAGTTTTTAGCATCTGTTAACTTGAGACTGTATTGCTTTTCCAGAGCATCTTGTTGAGGTAAGTCGGGTGCCTAGAGTTGCTGAAAGCAGAGAAACTATAAGGATAATTTGAATCCCCCTGCAGAATGTGAAAAGTTCAAATTAAAGAAATATGCACACAGAGGAATATGTGTTTAATAATATCAGGCTCAATGTTTAATAATATTAAACACTGAAGATATTATTACTCTCAGTTGGGGAAAAATTGATCAAAGAGATTGTAAACAGGAAACTTAGTACTCCATTTTGGTATCAAAAATGATGGCCTTTGGTACTATGTATGCTTTGGTAGTACCTAATATGTTCATTTCAGTGCAACTTGAAAACATTTTCCCAATAATTCTACTTTAGATTACTCTGTTTCTTCTTTGTAGTTTCCTAATTCTTTGCGATATATATTCTCTCAACTTTTCTTTTAACTTCTTATAGGTGAACTCGGTGGCCAATAATACATATTCAGCTAACCATGATTAATAATAATTAATTTTATTTTAAATGAGGTCTCTTTTTTTACCATCACCTCATAAATCATAATTTGTGTTTTTCCCCTAAAACTAATTAAGCATTTAAGATGCCGCAACACTAAATAATAGAACATAATTTGTTCATGGACCTTTCAGAACACAAAATATTTGACTCCTGTTTCAAATATGAAGTCCTGACTTTTTAAAATATTTTCACCATTGCTTTCATTTCACCTCATCAAACATGCTCTCGAAAAGTATCCTAGGCTCAAGTTAACAGATCCTAACAATTTAGGGAGTTCTAACCTCAATGCCTAATTTCACTAATAATTGGATATTACATTGTCATTGATTCTTTATAGTCATATATTCTCATTGAAAATAAAGTGGTTAGACCACAGAATATTTTTTGACATTTCAATGAAGCTAATAGTAAAAAAAAAAAAAAATGGTAATATTGTATGACAATTTAAGAGATATATATTACAAGTATATCTTGATATTATGATTACATTTAGCAGTTGGCTTCACTTACTAATTTACTATCATAGTAAATATCCTTGACCAAGCAAATACTAAATGTAATTTTATATTATATAGATTTAGTGCTATAGTATAAATTGACCAAAAATATAAAATAAATAGATATTTTATTTCAATAGGCACAAGCAGCCAGGAACACAGTAAATAGTGTTGTCTTGTTTCTTAGGATTTCAAAGATCTGTAATATCTTTAAGTCTACACTGCTCAACTTAGAGCTCCCAAATCCTAAGTGGTCCCTAATCAATACTGTAATGATATATTTTGAACCATATTCTACATCCAGAATAAATCTAATGAATTCTTTACAATAATCGTCATTCAACTACAAGTCTGCATAGCATAAATACAATATCCCTTGCTTTGGGCTGTAGTTTTATCAACTTATTAAATTAGTACTGATTATCTTATGCTTACTGGAGGCATTTATTGATTGTATGTCTTTGACTGATAAGCATAAAAATATGTTTCTAATATTATTTGATAAAAGAAGTTTCTGAATAAAAATCTTTTAAAATATTCTCAAGAAAATTTATAAAATGCCTTTGGGGTAGTAAAATTGCAAAGGATCTTTGCTTTTTTTTCCTTCAAGTTATAATCTAATTATCAGAATAAATTACTCCATTAGGGACTTCAAGAACAACATAATTTAACATGCCATAAGTTTTGGAGGCAAAATACTATATTATTTGTATATTTTGATTGCGGTAAAAGTACTTGAACTTGGCTATAGTCATGGTTTCGTCTAGTTTATTACAATCCAATGTGGATGTTTACATTTAATTTCTTTTCCTCAAAGATAACCTTTGGAGGCATCCCTTTCTCTGGCAAGCCCAGTTCCACCAGTAGAAAGAATTTCAAAGGCTGCATGGAGAGTATCAACTACAATGGCATCAACATTACTGATCTTGCCAGAAGGAAGAAATTAGAGCCCTCAAATGTGGTAAGAATTTTCACCCTCAAAAGACTGGTCTGTAAAAAATATAAGTAACTTTTTTGTTTTTTGGAGTACTGAACAACAACAAAATCATGACGTTTTTCATCTTATTTGTGTTTGGGCACAATGATGTAAAACAAACTTCAGAGTTATCAGAAATACCATAGGTAATTAGTATTCTTTGAGAACAGATAATGGGAATAGCCTGAAAAAGGTGACAGGTTTCATTTCCATGGAGCACAGAATGTTAGACTCAGTATTTTTTCTGGATTACTCATGGCAGGGAAACGAATCCACTTCAGCACATGCTTCACCCCAGCAGCTCTGCAGCTCTTAAACTGGCCACATCATGTTTTCAAATATCTCATCATATATGCTCTAACTTTCTGGTTTCTGGTTTAAAATTTAGTATTTTTAAAGTTTTTAAATCAGGGACCTTATTATATTTACTCCTGCATTTCCAAAGATGATTTTTTGAATATGTAAATAAATACCCTTTTTAACAAATCTGTAACCAGACTAAATATTATACAATTAAACACAGCTTGATTTCTGCTGCATAGCAGAAGCTGTGCTGCAGAAGTTCACAGTGATTTTCTTCTACCTCTATGTGACTTGGTGCCAGGTTTCATTACATTTTGGGAGGAGAGCAAAAATCAAAGAAAACCGCAGCATACCTTCCTTCTCATGACACTACTCAACATCCCTAAGAGACATTTTGTTTAAAATTTAGTATGAGGGTTCCCTATGGCTCTGCAAGACCAGGAGCTACTTTAGCCCAGAGATGTTATTTGAGAGAGCCTAGAATTGCAGAGACCCATACAACAAGAAGATATTATGCACTAGAAGTAGAATAATGTCATGAGTGTTTGCACTATGCTCTAAAAATGCTCTTAGGGTCTCGTTGCCTCAATTTTGAGCCTAGGGTTTCATAAAATGAATCGACAAGTGGATATCCCTGAATGAATAAAGAATTCAGGTTGGATATGAGGAACTTTAAAATAAGAACTTAATGCAAATGATTAATAAATGTTTTTCTTAATCATAACTTTATACTAATAAGCGAAAGTTGAACTTTGATTAAATTTTCTCATAAAGCATATTGACAATATGGAAACATAATATCTCCATTTATAGGCAACATGTTCTGTTCTAGGCATGTTATATTTTACATTTATGATACTCTAAGAACAATACTGCAAGAAAGATGCAAACATTTTGTATGTGAAAACAATGAGATTTAACATGGAAAAAATTATTTTATGAGGAAAAATAGCTTTTATGAGAGAAATTATTTTATTTTATTTTATTTTATGAGTAAGAGATGTAAATTATAGATTTACAGCTGGGCATGGTGGTCTGCTTCTGTTATCCCAACACTTTGGGAGGCCAAAGCAGGATGATCACTTGAGTCCAGGAATTTGAGACTAGCCTGGCAACATAGTGAGACCCTGTCTCTACAAAAAGTTAAGAAAATTAAAATTAAAAAAAGTAACTTAAACTGAATTAAAAAATTAGCTGTGTGTGATAGTGCATACATGTAGTCCCAGCTACTCAAGAGGCTGAGGTAGGAGGATCATTTGAGCCCAAAAGTTTGAGCTACAGTGAACTGTGATTGAACCACTGTACTTCAGCCTGGGCAACAGACTGAGACTCTGTCCCTCCAAAAACTAAAAAAATGAAAAAGATTATAGATTCACAATATGTGAGTTTGATTATGATCTATAATTATATTTTATTTTAACAAATAATTGCAATGAGAAAACATAGGCTAAACTTTTGAATCATACATGTACAATGTACATACATATGGAAAATCTTAGGTGGGATAGAGACAAAAGGACATTTTGCAAGCAGCCCTACAAAGACAAATGTTAATATAAGAAATTTACTTTCAAACATATTGTGTACTGATATTTCAGTGAAATTGACTCAGCACTCATTCTACCTCCTCTTCCCCTACACTCTCATTCCCTCATTATGCACTGACTCTAGAGTCAGCACCATTACTCTGGAAGAATCTTTAATTTTGTTAGGGAGACAATCCCCTCAACAATGGTATGTGGTCAGTTATAAAATCTCAGTTATTATGCATAGGCAGTTCTTTTCATCAGTAAAGGCGAGCATTTAAAAATAATCATCTGTGAAGGTACAGAGCAAATTTAATTTGAATATTAATTCAGAGAGACAGCCTCCCTTAGATTTAATGGTTAATGTGTTAAATGGAAGAAATCAGTATCTGGTATACATATATGTGGTGTTGTTAAAAATATATAGAGAAAAAGAAAGATAAAGATAGAGAGATAGACCCAATGAAATAGTATCCAATTACATTCCTTAAAATATTATGATAGTATAAAAGAAGTTAGAAGCAAATACAGATTTTTAGATCTGTAAAGAGAAGTTAGGCACTAAACTATAAAATTTAGTGTATCTGAATGATAAATCAATGTGAATTTTTTTGCTTATATCAAGAAGGAGGAGTATGGAAGGGGAAGGACAAGCCTGAATTATTAGAAGTTTTGTTTCCATTTTGCCAATTTATACCACTAGTTCCACAGGAATGAATGCATTGTGATATAAGCACATTTCATGGGAATTTAAATGGGATTTTGAGTTGGGTAACAGAATAATCTGCAATAACCACAATTACATTAACACTAAAAACAACATTTATCTATCTATGCATATATAAGGTATATTAATAAAAAATATATAAGGTAGATAGATAAAAATCCAAGAATATTTTTCCTAAAATATCAGTTTCATAAATAGCAAACATATGATCATAGTCTGTATTGAGACCAGAGTAATATGTTAATTAATGTTAGCATTGACCACTCAAAATAGGGCAGAGCATCTTTCTCCCTGACTTACGTTCGGCTAGCAGCAACTTTGCTGTCTTCAGAAAGTCTAGTGATCCATACTCATGCCCACAACACACATTTACAACTCGTGGTCATCTTATCTCATCAGGCTGTCAGGCTGTCAGTCCCATGGTGGAGGCTGCTTGTTATAGACAGCCACTGCTGTTCACTGTTAGGCCTGACACTCCAAATAGATTCATGGTGGTGCTTCCAGTCACTAAATCCATGCCCTGCAGCTGGGTGTGAGTTTAGCTCAGGCTCAGGCTCTGCCTCAAAACTTGTAGAACTCTACCTTCATCAGTGGTCTTACCTGGGCATTTACTTTATTCTATGTCTTCCTCAAAGCATGCCTTTCTATTTTATAGGGAAATTTGAGCTTCTCTTGTGTGGAACCCTATACGGTGCCTGTCTTTTTCAATGCTACAAGTTACCTGGAGGTGCCCGGACGGCTTAACCAGGACCTGTTCTCAGTCAGTTTCCAGTTTAGGACGTGGAACCCCAATGGTCTCCTGGTCTTCAGTCACTTTGCAGATAATTTGGGCAATGTGGAGATTGACCTCACTGAGAGCAAAGTGGGTGTTCACATCAACATTACGCAGACCAAGATGAGCCAAATAGACATTTCCTCAGGTCAGTGAAACCTATTTGACATTTGTTCCTGAAACTGCTCTTGCAATTTCCAAAGCTAATGTTTTGTTTTGTTTTGCTGGGGTTACATGCTGAGGATTAGGTTGTAATTCAGATCTTAAAGACACTTACTTTGTTGTACTATGTGCTGATTGAGTAAGGAACACTTGGAAGTTGGGAGGGCAAGGCATGAGTGAGGGAGAAAGTTGGTTGAGATTGGAAAATCAAAATATATTCCTAAACAATGCTAGCTTACATTTAATAGAGAAATTGCTGTTCTTTTAAGAGAATAATTTATACTTAAGCACAAATAATGTTTTTTAAAAAAAACACAGTTGTATCTGTTATCTTTTGACTTTATGAAGTCAAGTACCTTTTACTTATAGTAACAAGATTTTACTAATTACGACTTTAAGGAATATTCCACTGCTGGAATCCGAACTTCAGAATGATCTTGCTAAAATTATGCTAATGTTTGGAAAAGAAAACAAAAGTGAATACAAAGTAGAATGACAAGATTTGTGTATCAACTGAAGGAAGACTGGCTTACCAAAAATAGGATAATTTAAAATTTGGCTTTATAGTGACATGGAAAGTGGAAGCTTAGATAGTATTCTTGCTATTTGAATAGACTTAGCAACCTTGGGCTGTTCTTTGATAAATATGGCACAAAGAAAGGTGATATTTTAAATTGAGATGTTAAAAGCAAAGAAAAAATAGTCACAATATTGGACTGATAAATAATAACTGTTTTCATCTATTTTTCTTGAGATATTCTTTGCAATAGTCGTGTGTGTGTATGCGTGTGCGTTTATGTTTGTGTGTGTGTGAAGAACTACTTAGAAATGGGAGATGCAGAGAAAACTAACATTTACTGAACACTTCATACAGATATAGCAGATACTGAAAGAGGTCGTGACAGAGAGCTCAATTGGATGACCATGGACTCTGTTTTCAGAATATGCCAGAAACACTCAGGACACCCTATGCATACACCTGACATGGTTTCAATCACACTGGGATTTGTGTTCCTCTCATTTCCCCTCTAGGTTGCATGCTTCTTGGGAGCAGGGGCCATGCTCCCTCTTCCTCTGTCTCTAGCATATAGAATAGTACCTATAAGAGGCGCTCTAGAATATTTGTTGAGTTCAATACTCTGACCCTTTAAACTAACAGAATACCCCCTGCTATAGGGCATACATTTTCTTGTAAAATAGGCTTTATGTTTGTGTATGGCCTGAATGTATGGTCTATTGCTGAAAAGGATACAAGGAAGGCATAAAACTGTTATGTCACAGAGGTGCTTAAATTATTAAAATCAAAAGCTATTGGGAAATACCTAGATATTCACTTCTCCATTTCTCTTTATTAGTTTTGCTTTTTCCTTGAATGTCCATGGTTGATAAAATCCATCATATTTGCCCACTGTATTCTTGTATAAGCATACCTAGGGAGATTTATAGCAAATAGAAAATATCTGGAGAGACCAGAAAAACAGATAAAACTAAAACAAAAGCGAATGTTTGCCACAGTTGAAAAACTCCCACATTACATTCTGTTATGATTAATGATTATTTTCTAATGACTAAACATATAAAAATATTAGTATGAAGCCCTCTCTCCTTGCATTCTCTGAGCAAATCCAGTTTGTCTGTAGGTTTCCATGTAACAGGAGCCAATATAGTTAAAAGAATAAGATCTTAAATCTAGTGGTCAATAAACATGTATTACTTTGATTTAGGTATATTTTAGTACTCCAAGATACTCTCACCTAATTTAAGCTGTGTTTATTTTGAAAATTAAAGATAGAATGAACAGAGGAAACCAATATATGACAATTAATTCACCTTAATATATTTGCTTAAAGATAATAAAAATGAACTGAAGAATTTTTTGTCAATTTAGCCAAGACTCTGTGCAAATTAATTGAAAATGATATGAAATCCAAAGATTTTCATAGTATTACCCTCATATAATCCAGTGAAAATACCTCAATGCTTCAAGCATTATTTTCTGTATACATTGTGGAAACTAAGTGATCATATTTGAGAAAGATTAGTTGAAAAAAAAAAGAAAATCCAACCATTTTAGAAAATTCTATTTTATATTCATTCATTCAATCTAAAAATACATATGGAAACCATAGAAGATAATTTCCTCTGTCTTTGAATGTATTTTATCTAATTCAGTTAAATTTTAAATAATTTAGTAAAGTGTCAACACTGAGAAAATAGCTCAAGATTCTAATGTTTACCTTAACAGAGGAAAATGTATCTGTATCATAGCTATTCTACTCTTATTAGCATGAGCATTGAAGACTGTCAGTCCATTTCTCCTTTTGTTTAATATTTTGATTGAAATAATTTAGAAAAGGCAGAAAATCTGGAAAAGAAATATAACCACTGATAACATGCTTTTGTACACACACAAAGTAGTGCATTGAGAAGGTAATATAGAGACTCTCAAATACTGTTAATATATACTGGTAACTTGGTTTTTATTTAATAAGTTCCATGGTCCAGTATGAAGGTTACCCAGTTAGATCAAAAAAAATTTTTTTTTCATCTTGGTCAACACTGTCCTTTGAGAATTAATTCGAAATATTAAATACATCTTACAAGTAAAAGAAAGTTTAATATATTGCTCACCCTCTCTTTCCCAGCTGTGATTACTGTTTTCAAGAGTCTCATTAGTAACTGACAGTAGACTTGACTTACAAAATTCAGTCAAACTCAGTAGGCTTGAATTTGTGGAGTGGGTTATCTTTCCATGAAAATATTTTTAAAGTTGCGAAATCAACTCTTTCTGATGGGTAGCCAAACAAACAAACAACAAAACCCTACCTACCTTATTTCAAAATGCTTCAGTTTTATCCCATGATATCACTTTCTTGAGGACAGCAGTTACTGATTTATGAATAGATATTTATGTATTACTTTTAACTAGGTATAAATGGTAAAAGAAGATAAATCAGGTGCTAAAAGGATCTAATGAATAATAGCTGTTCATTCTGGACATAATTTTGTGGGGTTTTTTGTTGTTGTTGTTTTCTATATTTTGAGTTGGAGTCTTGTTCTATTGCCCAGGCTGGAGTGCAGTGGTGTGATCTCAGCTCACTGCAACCTCCGTCTCCCAGGTTCAAGCGATTCTCCTCCCTCAGTCTCCGGAACAGCTGGGATTACAGGTGCCCACCACCACACTCAGCTAATTTTTGTATTTTTAGTAGAGATTGGGTTTCACCAGATTGGCCGGGCTGATCTCGAACTCCTGGCCTCAAGCAATCCTCCCACCTTGTCCTCCCAAAATGCTAGGATTACAGGTGTGAGCCACTGCGTCCGGCCCATCCTGGGCATAATTTTCATTTTAACTTTACAATTCAAAACCCTAGGGAAGGTAGACCTAGAACTATGTTTTCAAATAATTTTGATCAAAGCATAGTAAGAAAATATTTTATGCCATGCCCAAAATCTACTGACACAAAGTTTAATGAAATAAAACTTATCTTTCTATTTTAGATACACTATGATAATTGTGGTATTTTCTCTTCTTTTACTTTTATCTTTAAAAAAAATTCCATGAGACGCTATAATGATTTTATGTCCTAAATACAGTTTGGAAAAACTGACCTGCATTCTTTTTCATATTTAAAATTTTTAAATTTTAAAAAGTTTAATTGCCTGGAAGTATTAACTCCATCACTCTATGTTGGAAAACTAAATTTATCTTATAGGGCCAATATTATACTATTGTGGTGGTGGTAAAAAGAAGCATTAATATGCATTCCTATTTGATGGGAAAAAAACCTCTACCTACTTTTTGAAGTAAGATTTTATTTCAAAATGCCTCAATTTTATGTCACTAAAATATGAATATTTAGGACGATACTCAGTTGTGGTCTGCCAATATTAGTAAGGTAATATGATGTGATTCCGCATTTATTATAGTGGGGAGAAAGTGATTTATCTTAATAGTCTCTCTCACTTATTGGAAAATAATTAACTTCTATCCTTATATAAACAAAGCCTTTCCAAAAAGCCATTCAGAATATGTCTTGTCCTAACAGCTATTTTCTTATACCCAAGTATTGGAACCTCCTTGTTTTGTTAATGGAGGCTTTGCTTCAATTTTAGAATGGCTGTTCAGTGTCCATACTGTTTCAGAAACATGTAGTCAGCAAAGATTATCTCTGGATGTATTTTCATCTCCAAAGGAAATCTTCTGTGGCCTTGTTTTATTTACTTTGCTTCGTGGTAGAATGTTCCTTGTAAATCATTGTGTTCCATTTGGTATGTGAGGGGAGGGGCGGCAGTTTTCAGTTTAGTGTGTGGCTGTGAGCATGCTGGGAAATAGTGCCCAGTTCAATCTGGGAAAATGTGTTTGGAAACACTTCTGGCACTGTCTATCCTAAGCAATTAAAATATCTCTGTTCTTAATTTTGTGAACATATGGAAATGTAGCCAGAATATTAATATTTCCTAAAAAGTTTATTTATGCCGTTTTCCAGCATTCGGTGATAACTTGTACCACGAGACATTCTTTTCATCATATAAGAAAAAAGGTCTCATTTGAAATATAATTTTTGATGTTTCAGTTGTTTACTGGAAAATTATTATCAGTTCTATGCTAATATTTCAAGACATCTTAAATTCTTATAACTCCAAAACTAAATGCTTAGACATTACTACAAACACTTTAAGGGATTTGTCTTATATTTTACAGGAAAATACTTGGAAACTTATTTAGCAAGGTATATTCTTTGATTCAAGTTTAAACCATAATTATTAGAAACCTTAAAAGACATCACTTCCCTTTGGTCCATTAAATTTTAGTTATTCTGATTCTAAGAAAATAAAGAAGCACCCAGAGATATTTATCACACCATATGTACAATAACAAAAGTACCTGATAACAAACTACTGAAAATGGACAGGTGATTTTAAAGAAGATATTTTTGTGTGGAATACTATTATGTCACTATAAATCATGTTTCTTAAATAAAATTC